ATTGAAATGTAGATTTATATATGTATAGAGAGCGTCACATTCCCCTGTACAGAAATGTTAAATTCTCAAGATTAAGTATCTTCAGTTGGGGAAAATCAATTTACTTCTTTGAGGAGGCTGCGATTGAAAGTCGTGAGCCTGAAACTTACTTTCTTGCCAATTTTCCTGATAAAAAAAGCATCTCCATCCTGGCATGTCGCCCTGTATTGGCTGCTGCAGACGATCCCATTAATTGATTGGATGGCTGGTCCTGAAGCCATCCTCATGAAGGTTTCCACTGGGGCTGGGACAGGCAGGATGGCAGGAGCTATAGGCTGTGGCATGCCAGGCCTGGGCTAGTGACTGCGGCTCAGGCCGGTGATGGAACTCAGGCCTCTGGTGGCCTGGCCACGGAGAAGGGAGCGGGGAGCCGGCCTTCGTCCAGGAGGGAGCCGGGCTTTGTCTCAGCCTTGCCAGAGGGAAGCATCTTAGGGTAGTGCCCCAGAATCACTGACTCGCTCAAGGACAGAGGACAAACTTCAGGGGGGCCAGAAACCATGAGCAGGGGTGTTTCAGAACGGGGCTGCCCTGTTCTCGGGGGACAGTGGGCAACCGATCCAGAGAGACAGACCTGGGAGGAAACCTCCTGGAATCAGGGTTACATCCAGTTCATGCCTTGTCGCCACCTCCCACCTTCCCTGGCCCAAGTTCTCTGGTGTCCTTTTTCACCTTCCTCATTCATTTCCTTTACTCTCTGGTGACTTTCATGTGTCTTTCCTGAAAGACCACCTGCCTCAACACTTCCTCCAGTCCCAGCTGGAATTTCTGTCCCTTTCTATGGCATCGTGTTGCTGGGAACAGCATATGTTCTGGTGTCAGGCAAGCCTGCGTATAGGAGGAAGGGTGGGGGGAGGATGCAAGCAGGAGTTTGGAGGAAGAGGAAAAATTTTCATCCCAGTGTGAGACAGAAGGAGTGGGGCAGGGCTTCCTGAGTGATTCGTTGTCAATTTATTTTTGCCAAGACTCATATTTCTTGGATGTGAATGACTGGTTGTGTGGGAGACAGAGAGAGGGAGGGAGAGCTAGGTGATGGATAGATGGGTTAAAGGAAGGACAGATGGACAGATGACTGGAGAGATGGAGTAACAGATGGATAAAGGCTAGGTGTGCAGTTGAATAGTGAGTTGAATGAACTAGTGTAAAGTGTGTGTGGAGAAGAGTATGCTCAGATGAGGGGGTGGATGGATGGATGGTTGTGTGGCCAGATGGGTGGGTGGGTGTGTGGGTAAGTAGGTGTGTGGATGGGTGTACAAGTGGGTGGGTACGTGGATGGATGGGTAGTTGGGTGTGTGGATGGATGGATGGGTAAGCAGATGGATAGATAGCTGGTTGTGTGGATAAATGGAGAGGTGGATGGATGGGTAGATTAATGGGTGGGTGGGTATGTGGATGGATGGGTAGTTGGGTGTGTGGATAGATGGATGGGTACATAGATGGATAGATAGGTGGTTGTGTGGATAAGTAGAGAGGTGGATGGATGGGTAGATTAATGGGTGGGTGGGTATGTGGATGGATGGGTAGTTGGGTGTGTGGATAGATGGATGGGTACATAGATGGATAGATAGGTGGTTGTGTGGATAAGTAGAGAGGTGGATGGATGGGTAGATTAATGGGTGGGTGGGTATGTGGATGGATGGGTAGTTGGGTGTGTGGATGGATGGATGAGTACACAGATGGATAGATAGCTGGTTGTGTGGATAAATGGAGAGGTGGATAGATGGGTAGTTGGGTGTGTGGACGGATGGATGGGTAAGCAGATGTATAGATAGGTGGTTGTGTGGATAAGTGGAGAGGTGGATGGATGGGTAGTTGGGTGTGTGGATGAATGGATGGGTAAGCAGATGGATAGATAGGTGGTTGTGTGGATAAATGAAGAGGTGGATGAATGGGTAGTTGAGTGTGTGGATAGATGGATGGGTAAGCAGATGTATAGATAGGTGGTTGTGTGGATAAATGAAGAGGTGGATGAATGGGTAGTTGAGTGTGTGGATAGATGGATGGGTAAGCAGATGTATAGATAGGTGGTTGTGTGGATAAGTGGAGAGGTGGATGGATGGGTAGTTGGGTGTGTGGATGGATGGATGGATGGGTAAGCAGATGGATAGATAGGTGGTTGTGTGGATAAGTAGAGAGGTGGATGGATGGGTAGATTAATGGGTGGATGCGTTAGACAGTGTAACCATTGCTCTGCTTGCCTCATTCACCTCTGGTTTCCACCTCTCATAGGAGAGGGAGATTTGGAAAACAGGAGAGACTGGAAATACAGTTGTCCCTTGGTATCTGCAGGGGACAGTTTTCCAAGACCCCCTGCAGATACCCAAATCCATAGATGCTCACATCCCTTATATAAATGACACAGTATTTGCTCAGAACCTACATCCCTCCATACACTGTAAATCTTCTCTTGATTACTTGCAGACCTAGCGCAATGTAAATGCTGTGTAAATAGCGGTTACACAGTATTGTTTAGGGAATAATGACAGGGGAAGTCCACACACGTTCAGTACAGACGCGACCAATTTTCTTTTCTCAAATGTTGTCTATCGTGGTTGGCTGACTCCGCAATGCGGGGTCTGTGAATACGGAGGGCCACTGTAGTGGGAATGGCTGGCTCTCTGGAAAGGCAACTGCACCAGGCAGGGCGACTTCTGTGACTATGTGGGTGAGAGCGCGCATGCCTTGTCTATTGCCGTCTAGCGCATTACTCAAAGTCTGGTATCATGAAGCACCTCCTGTCACCTCCCAGTGTGTGGGGCAGGAACCCAGGCCAGGGCTCTCCAAGGCTGGACCCCTTGCTCAGGTCTCTCCAAGGTTGTTCGCTAACACTGTAGCCATGTTGGGGCCCTCCTCCAAGCTCATGGGGGGCTGTTGGCGGCACGCGTTCTTCCCAGGGCTGCACCGAGGGCTGCAGGTATTGGGTCTGTGGCCAGAGGCTGCCTTCCGTGGCTTGCCAAGCAGCCCTCTCCACAGGCCAGATCATAGCCTAGCAGCCAGCCAGAGGAGACAAGCCCGAGAGGGTGCAAGCAAGACGGGCTTCAGCTCTTGCAAGGGATCTTGGGCGTGACATCCCACACCTTGGGGCGGGGTTACAAGCAAGTCGCTAGGTCCAGCCCACACCAAAAGGAGGGGATTGGGCAAGGGCAGGAGTGCCAGGGGATGGGATGCTAGAGCCATTTGGAAGCTTCCTGCCACCAGGGAATGGGGAAGGGGTGAGACAGAGTGAGAAAGAAACAGAGCAGGAAGTGGGAAATTATCAAGAGGATGAGAAACATCTGGGGGAGTTGGAAGAGCTGGAAATCAGGACTGTGTAAGGCAAGAGCAGCTGGCGGAGAGGGTGCCTGGGGCAGCGGGAAGAGGAGGTGAAGATGGGCGAGCAGGAGAGGTGAGAGGGCTTGGCGACAGGAGCAGCTCTGCAGCGTCCGAAGGCCAGAGAGCGGGAACAGCCCAACGCAGGCGGGCTGAACGCCAGGAGGAGCTGGGGAGCCCAGGAGGACACAGGGCGTCTAAGCCCTTTGTGCCTCCACTTGGGGGCAGTTAAACTCATTGGCAAGGGGGCCACAGCTTATCAGTAAGGCCCCCAGGCTCTATGCCCAAGAGAGGTGTCACTGGCCCATAACCAAGTCCGTGCCCAGGCGGGATTCTGAGGCGTCCCTGATGCTGCTTTGGCGTTCCCTCCTGCCCTGGTCGCCTCCTCCCCAAGGTGTGTTTGGGAGCCAGAAGCCAGTTCTGGAGGGGACAGCCCTTTGCAGAGCTAAGAAGCACCTGGAGAGAAGCGAGTATACTTTCCTCCCAAGCTCCATCCACCCCCTTCCCGGGCACAGCTTCCCCCTGCCCATCCCCCAGTCCTGCCCACCTGTCTCAGTGCAACCAGGCCGTGCTCACCCACACCGGAGGTCGGCCCAGCGCCAGGCTGACAGGCTGACACCACAGACCGGCACACCAGACTTGGAAACAGCCGGGCACAACGGGGCCACAGAGCCACCTGCTCCTCTGGGACCAGCCAGGCAGGGCCATCCCTGTTGGGAGCAGGCAGCTGGCAGCCACCCAGTCCCAGGAAGTCTCACGAACACAGGGCACCCTGGTCTGCCCAGTCTCCCCAGACAGCAAGTCACCCTTGGCCCCGGCCCCCTTTTCTTTCCAGGTCTCTGAGCCTCCCCAGGGCAGACAGAGCAGCCTCCCAACTGGCCTGGTCCTGCCCACGCTTCAGCCCTGACCTACTGTCCCAGGCCCTGGAGCAGCCAGCGGGACTCGCAGCCTGGCTGCTCCGATGGCCTCACTCTCTCCCCTTCTGCTTCTCTCTCACTGCGGTGAAGTAGGACGGGAGCCTGTGCTTCTGACCGTCTTCCCGGAAACAGCGTAGGAAAGGGCACTGCTCCACCTTCGTGGGCATCCGTCTCTCCCTCCCCAGCCTCAGTGGCTCCTGTGAGGCGGAATAGCAGGGTAGTTAGGAGCCAGCTAGCCTGGCTTTGAGGCCCGGCTCTGCCACTCAGTGTCTGGGTAACCTTGGGCAAGTTACTTAGCTGTGCCTCAGTTTCCCTGTCACCAAAGTGGAGCTAATGGGAACACCTTCCTCCAGGGATCGCTGAGAAGAGTCTGCGAGTCCATGCAGGCGGAGCACGTGGAGCAAGACTCCGTGCATGCTAAGGGTTTAACAAATATTTAAGAAAAAATGGATTATTAGAATTATCTAGTGAGTATAAGAGCCGTCTGTTACAAACTCAGTCTGAAGATCCTTTTCCTGTGCGAAGAGTCAAGGCTTCCCAGGAAGCGGGTCCGAGTCTGAGTCGGCCATATCACCTGCCAGCTGTGTTTGGACCTCTCCTCCCAGGACCTCAGTTTGCCCATCGGAGCGATGGGCAGTCCTCCCTCGGCAGATCGCGGGCCCTCCTGAGCGGGCTGTGCAGTGCTAGGCCCTCGGCGTGCTCAGTAACGTGTGTGCTCTCCCCTCCCTCCTGGCCCAGAAATCCAAGATCTCCACCTTCGAGAAGATGTGGGCCTTCATGAGCAGCAAGCCCTCGGCGCTGGTGAAGAACAACGAGGAGGGCATCCAGAGGACGCTGACGGCGGACTACGCGCTGCTCATGGAGTCCACGACCATCGAGTACGTCACCCAGAGGAACTGCAACCTCACCCAGATCGGGGGCCTCATCGACTCCAAGGGCTACGGCATCGGCACGCCCATGGGTGAGCGCGGGGCTGCAGGCGGAGGGTGGCAGGTGCGCGCAGAAGCATGCGGGCCTCTGCTCCTGCTCCTAGTCAACTGACTGCACCTAGAAAGGCGCACTCCCTCGGCCCAGACGCAGAGGCCCGGGCCACGGACATGGGTCAGCCTCCCTGCAAGAGGAGCACTGGAGCGAATGCAAAGTAGGGGATCAGAGGCAGGGGCTATGCCTCCCTACCCTCGCCCACCCCTGCCCATGTAACCCGGGTACACAGGGGCTGCCCGGGGCCAATGGGAGCAGATATTCAACGTGCAGACCGCCCCCCCCAACATTCCACCCTCCCAGATACCATCTGTCGCGGTAAGGAGGGGCCCAGCAGTCAACGGGACCTGTTTCGTGAGCTGGCTAAGGGCTGGGGAGGGTGGCAGCACCGGCCAGGCCAGGGCGGGGTATGTGCCACCGACAGCCCAGCTCCGCTCCCCCAGGCTCCCCGTACCGGGACAAGATCACCATCGCCATCCTGCAGCTGCAGGAGGAGGACAAGCTGCACATCATGAAGGAGAAGTGGTGGCGAGGCAGCGGCTGCCCTGAGGAGGAGAACAAGGAGGCCAGCGCCCTGGGCATTCAGAAGATCGGGGGCATCTTCATCGTCCTGGCTGCGGGGCTGGTGCTGTCCGTGCTGGTGGCCGTGGGCGAGTTCGTGTACAAGCTCCGCAAGACGGCGGAACGAGAGCAGGTGAGCCAGGCCTGCACGGGAGGGGCAGAGCTGGAGTCACCTGCATGCTGTCACCCATCCATGCCAGGCACACCCTGAGGCTCTCCGCACTCTCGCCACTGCCCAGCCTCCATCCAGTGCCCTAGGAGGTCCCTACAGGCCAAGCTACCGTCACCTTTGGCCTAGACCACACGACAGCCTCCAAGCTGTTCTTGCAGTGCCCTCGCTTCCCTGCCACCATCCACAATTAAACAAAAAAGCCAGGGCCACGTTTAAAACTTAATTCAAACCGTATCGTTTCACGGTGTAAAACCCTCCAGGGTAATCATCGAAGCGGGGTGATGGTTGCATAGGGGTTCATTATTCTGTTCTCTCTACTTTTGCATATATTTGGAAATTTCCATAATCAAAAGTTAAAAAAAAAAAAAAGTTAAGAGGGCTGGTCCAAACATACAGATAGTAGAACTCAGCTCACTCCGCCTGATTAATTCAAGCGCTGGGCAGTGATTCCAGGTCCCAGCAGCAAATTAGAATCACGAGGAGAAAGTTTTTAAGCTCTAATGCCCTGGCCTCGCTCCCAGAGACTCCTGCTTAATTGGCCTGAGGTGAGCCTGGCATCGGCATTTTAAGAAAGCCTAGCGGGCAATTTAAGTGTGCGCCTGAGCGGGGGCCTGGGCGTGGGGCAGGTGCCTGCTGGTCACCAGAGACTCAGAGTCCGCGTCCAGCTGAAGGAGGTGGCTGTTAAGTCATATGTAAAGGGGACCCCTGAAAACAGCGACGCAGGCAGCCTCCGAAACTGAAATGGGGTCCTTTCTAGCCAGCAAAGCCTACATCAGCGAAGAGGAGGGCAGACATACCCGGGGTCACAGTCACCTCGGGTAGTGGGAGACGCTGTCAGGGCTGCTCAGGGGCACCTCAGTGGGCACACTTCTGGGGACAGTTCCCAGGGCATTCAGTCTGTAAAACTGTCCTACCTTCTGGCCGGTCTATTTCTGCTTTAAGAAATGCACGCGGTGGACGTGGTCGCAAATACGCTGTTCCACTTACAAGGATATTTGCTGAAGTGGTAATTATACCGTGAAAAAAAGTGGGGAGGGGGCTAAATGTCCAACAATAGGGAAGGGTTTAAAAAATTAAGAGAAATCAAAACAATAACAATAACTAAATTATGCAGGGGTTCTCGTTACCATTGGAAGGAGCTCCGAATTTTACCAAGAAGCCTGCGGGAGGCGGGTCCTTGCGCACCCTTCGAACTTCCTCCCTCCCTCCCCCCTCACTCCACCCCCCACGTACCGCCTCCTCTTCAGTCCTCAGTACACGAGCATGTTTCTGTCACAGGGCCTTTGCCCGCGTCATTCCCTCTGTCTGGCTGCTCTCCCCTAGGGGACCATGTACTTGGCACCTTCTAGTCATTCAGGTGTCAGCTCAGATGTCACCACTGAAGTAGCATTTGTCACCTGTCCCGTTCCCAGCTCTCCATCCCATTGCTCTGCTTCATAATTCCCACAAAGGTCGCCACTACATCTGAAGCTCTTCATTGAGTCATGTTTGTGACATGAGCTCCTTGAGGGCTGGGACTTTGTCTTCTTCGCTGATACCTAGAGCAGGGCCTGGCACATAGTAGGGCCTGGGAAATACCTGCAGAATGAGGAAAGGAGGTTGAGGGAATGCTATCCTGCATCTTCTGGGGAAGGAAGGGAGGCTCAGAAAAGGGCAGCCAGATCCAAAGCCAGGTCCCTGGTGCTCGGGCCCCAGGACCCACACACAAGCATCCCAGTGCTAACCGGGCAGCTGGGGTGGCAGCAGCCCCGCAGCCTTCTGTGCGAACCTCAGGATGGCCTCTGGATGCTGGTCTGGTAGAAGCCTTACCATGTGATGCCTAGGGGCAATCAATGCCGCTCTCTTGCCGTCCCTCCTGGCTTCCTGCAGGGTCCCAGGCCAGAGGGAAGCCTTGCAGGGCCCTGTCTGCCAGTTGCCCACCTTGGGAAACAGGCTGGACCCTCGCAAGTGGTGGGGAGGGTACAGTGGTTCTGGAAGCCTTCCAGGAGGAGGGCCACCCCCACTGTCATAAGATGTCTCTTGAGCCCTGACCCTGAGCCAGTCCTCATGTTGAGGGTTGAGCTCGTGGGAATGAAACTTAGAGTCTGATGGAGAAAACCTAGACGATAAACCAGAGCTCCTCAGACTGTAACACACAGGCCGGTTGGAGCTCAGTCTGCTCCCCTTTAAAATGAAAATAAGATGCTCACTGCTGTCTACCTGCCTCAGGCTCCAAAGAAGAATGCAGGGCTATGGGGAGGGCAGAGGGCGGAGGGTAGAGTGCAGGGTTGGTGATGGGTGGTGTGAGAAACACGCAGCGGCCTTAGCCCAGCCCTGGGAGGAAGGGGAGGCATTGGCCAGTTACGGACCTGCCCTCACTATGTGCTTCCCTCCCCTCGGCCTCCCGCAGCGCTCCTTCTGCAGCACTGTGGCCGACGAGATCCGTTTCTCCCTCACCTGCCAGCGCCGGGTCAAGCACAAGCCACAGCCCCCCATGATGGTCAAGACGGACGCCGTCATCAACATGCACACGTTCAACGACCGCCGGCTCCCGGGCAAGGACAGCGTGGCCTGCAGCACACCGTTAGCCCCTGTGTTCCCCTAGGTCACGGGAGGTGGGCAGTGCAGGCCTGGAGCCAGCAGGGGAAGTGGAAATGGGAAGAAGGGCCCCTAGCCCCATGCTGGGCTTGGGGACCAGAGCTGCTGCCTGCCTGCTGGGCCAGGAGCCCTCTGCCCTTACCTGCCAGCAGACCAGCAGGCCTCGGGCCCACTGCTCGGCTTCATCCTTCTCCTGTCTCTTCCATGGGTCTCCAAAGCTGCCGGCCGCGATACCAAGCCCAAAGGAAGCACAGGCCTCTCTCGGGCCACACTCACCGCCCCTCAGCTCTCCTCTAGAGTTGAACATCTCTGTCGTGGCCCTGCAGAGGCCACAGGCGATGGGAGACAGCTCTTCCATTGCTGTTCCCTCTCCAGGAGCCCCAGTCTCTGAGGGCCGACTGCGAGGTCAGACACAGCCCTCGGCGCCTTAAGGATGTTCTAGGGTGACTGTCGACAGGAGCTAAAGATTAGGGCTGGCCGTCCCATATGCCTGGGCAGAAGGAAGACTGTCCACCAGGGTCTGTTCTTGTGGTCCTGGTCTTCTGGACACACATCACCCATGGCAACCCCTGTCTTGGCCAGGTTAAAAGGGTGTGGGGTGTGGGTGAGAAGAGAATGCAAGAATAGAGGCAGCCATCGGGGTTCTTATGTACAATGTCCCAGGGTCTCCCTCTCCTCTTGGAGGTCTCTAGGAATGTGTGAGGGGGTGATCACAGCAGGTCTTTCTCCACTTTATGGCCAGAGGAGAGAGGACACCCTGACTCTCTCATGGAGGATGCCTAGAGATTCAGCTGATACCTGAAGCTCAGCAGAGGAACAGTGGATTCCAGAGAAATCCCACAGCCCTTGTGCTTTCGCTGGTCAGCAGTGACTCTCAGAACCCTGCTGGCGTGTGGGAACCTGGGCCATCTACCATCTGCTTATCAGCGACTCCCCGTGTATCTGGCAATTGGCCTAGTCTCCCGAGTCATCTCAGAAGGAGAAGAATAGCCTGGGTTGAAGCGAAAGTCAAGTCACCCCTTCCCAAAAGAAGGGTCGGCGTCCCTCTGCACAGGCTAACTTGGGGAGGTAGGGGAAGCCAGAGGGGACCCAGAGAACTGGACTCCTGGACTTGCCAAACGTAGACGTTGCTCCAGAAAATGAGAGCTTCAACATCACCGGCGGAGGCTCCAAGGGTGGGAGGAAGAAGCTGCCTCCTGGAGAATTAACCAAAGACCCCACACAGACCAAGGCCATTCTCCTGTCCAGAGCAGCTGTGACCTTGTGGGGCCTGGGGAAGGCAGCAGAGAGGGTAGTGGTCAGCGTGCACAGGGAGGGTAGACCAGAAGACTGTGGGTTCCAGCTCACTCTGATGGATGCTCTAGTGGCCTGTGACTTTAAGATTCTTAGACAAGAATGAAGAGTTAGGCACAAAGTGTCCTTAATGAGAGCGTGATGGGCCAGCAGACTTCCTGTGACCGCAGACAAGGGGCAGTCTTTAAGCAGGGCTAGGAGGACAAGAGCTCCTGGACAGGGAGCTGGGGGCTCCCTCCACTCCCACCTCTGTCCTGCCACTGCTCGGGCAGCCCAGTCAGGGGAGAGCTGCATTTGGCTCTCTAGGCCTTCTAGGCTGGGGCGAAGAGTAATCTCTAGCAGAAGGGGGAGGCCCCAGTGGGCTCCTGTGATCACACTGCCCTCCCCCACACAGCGGGCTGCAGGCCCAGAGCAGCTGGTCTCCACATCACAGCAGCTCTGCCTGGCCTTGTATGCAGTGGAGGCCGAGGAGGGTCTGACGTCCGCAGAGCCCAGTGCAGTAAGGGTAGGAAAAGCCATGCCGCCGTGAGCTCCAGGTACACGGCGTGCGTGTATTTGTCTCTGCATGTGTGAGCTTCCGGGGCTGGGGCGGGAGACAGATCTGGACATATGACAAAGTCCAGGGCATGCAATAAGAGGTGAATTCTTTAGGATCTGATGTGTGTGTGTGTGTGTGTGTGTGTGTGTGTGCCTGCACGGGTCTGTTCTTGTGGTCCTGGTCTTCTGGACACACATCACCCATGGCAACCCCTGTCTTGGCCAGGTTAAAAGGGTGTGGGGTGTGGGTGAGAAGAGAATGCAAGAATAGAGGCAGCCATCGGGGTTCTTATGTACAATGTCCCAGGGTCTCCCTCTCCTCTTGGAGGTCTCTAGGAATGTGTGAGGGGGTGATCACAGCAGGTCTTTCTCCACTTTATGGCCAGAGGAGAGAGGACACCCTGACTCTCTCATGGAGGATGCCTAGAGATTCAGCTGATACCTGAAGCTCAGCAGAGGAACAGTGGATTCCAGAGAAATCCCACAGCCCTTGTGCTTTCGCTGGTCAGCAGTGACTCTCAGAACCCTGCTGGCGTGTGGGAACCTGGGCCATCTACCATCTGCTTATCAGCGACTCCCCGTGTATCTGGCAATTGGCCTAGTCTCCCGAGTCATCTCAGAAGGAGAAGAATAGCCTGGGTTGAAGCGAAAGTCAAGTCACCCCTTCCCAAAAGAAGGGTCGGCGTCCCTCTGCACAGGCTAACTTGGGGAGGTAGGGGAAGCCAGAGGGGACCCAGAGAACTGGACTCCTGGACTTGCCAAACGTAGACGTTGCTCCAGAAAATGAGAGCTTCAACATCACCGGCGGAGGCTCCAAGGGTGGGAGGAAGAAGCTGCCTCCTGGAGAATTAACCAAAGACCCCACACAGACCAAGGCCATTCTCCTGTCCAGAGCAGCTGTGACCTTGTGGGGCCTGGGGAAGGCAGCAGAGAGGGTAGTGGTCAGCGTGCACAGGGAGGGTAGACCAGAAGACTGTGGGTTCCAGCTCACTCTGATGGATGCTCTAGTGGCCTGTGACTTTAAGATTCTTAGACAAGAATGAAGAGTTAGGCACAAAGTGTCCTTAATGAGAGCGTGATGGGCCAGCAGACTTCCTGTGACCGCAGACAAGGGGCAGTCTTTAAGCAGGGCTAGGAGGACAAGAGCTCCTGGACAGGGAGCTGGGGGCTCCCTCCACTCCCACCTCTGTCCTGCCACTGCTCGGGCAGCCCAGTCAGGGGAGAGCTGCATTTGGCTCTCTAGGCCTTCTAGGCTGGGGCGAAGAGTAATCTCTAGCAGAAGGGGGAGGCCCCAGTGGGCTCCTGTGATCACACTGCCCTCCCCCACACAGCGGGCTGCAGGCCCAGAGCAGCTGGTCTCCACATCACAGCAGCTCTGCCTGGCCTTGTATGCAGTGGAGGCCGAGGAGGGTCTGACGTCCGCAGAGCCCAGTGCAGTAAGGGTAGGAAAAGCCATGCCGCCGTGAGCTCCAGGTACACGGCGTGCGTGTATTTGTCTCTGCATGTGTGAGCTTCCGGGGCTGGGGCGGGAGACAGATCTGGACATATGACAAAGTCCAGGGCATGCAATAAGAGGTGAATTCTTTAGGATCTGATGTGTGTGTGTGTGTGTGTGTGTGTGTGTGTGCCTGCACGTGCACGTGAATGAATTGGGCATGAGAGAGATGAATCAGTAGAGAGACAGCAGTAGAGCCCCATTTATGTAAAAACAGGAGAAGCCATGTCAGAATGGGGTTCTTGGAGTATACATATGTATACAAGCCATGTCGTTATGGAGTTCTTGCGAGTATACCTATGCATACATGGTTGTGTATGCTATCTCATGTGTGCGTGTGCACTTGTGCACTGAATGGCAAGGATGGAGGGCGGGCTCTAACCTGCAGCATAGCCAAATACATGTAGAAGGAGAAGCCATGTCATCGAGGGCCCCTGTGTGAGTGGGCGTGGACGTGTGTGTGCAGGACGGCGTGTGCAGCAGAGAGCGGGACAGAACCAGGCAGCCGTGCACCGCAGGTCAGTGCGTGTTGTATGCGAGAAGCCATGTGGAGCTGGAGCTTGTGCGTGCAAGTGTGTTCTGGCACACACGTCTACTCCAGCTCACAGCGGGAGCAGAGGTGGGCCAGCAGGGAGGCAGGGCCTCCGGGTCTGTGTGCCCTTCTGTGCCTGGAGTGGGCCGAGGTCCGGGCATGCACACAGAGACCGGCCGGGCAGGCAGAACCCTCCAAGGGCCTGTGTCTGCCGACTCCTTTGCGGCAGGCAGCGTGTCCTGCTGAGGGGAGACCACCTGTGGCCCCACTTCCTGGATTCCAACCCAGCCGTTTGCCAGTTTGCTGTCGCCACCACAGTCAACGCCCACCGTCTTACTTGGTCCAAGACAGTTTCGTAGCACATGACCACATCCACATTCACGCTACACACATGTGTGTCTGTGTGCATGCTTCCGTGGGAGTGGGTCGTGCTTTTCTGAGGCTTCGTACATGTGGAGATTGGGATGGGAGGAAGAAAGGGAGTGTCGCAGGGAGGGGAAGTTTTCCATGACGAGAGTGAAGAAGGGTGATAAAGGGGTGCAGTTCAACGAGGAGACTCCTCCAAGGGGCCAGCCATGGTCTCTGGCCTCCTAGAGCACAGGTGTGGAGGCCCGGCCTCCCTTTGAGCTCATGTCCTAGATGTGGCCGACGGTCAGCTCAGCTGAGGGCCCGTGTCCGTCCAGGAGACCCGACTGCACTGGGTACAGCAGAGGCCAGGTCTGCCCACGTCTATACCATGTCTCCCCGGGTGCAGAAGGTGACACTGAGCCAGGGCCCTGCACAGGGCACGTGAGCACACACGAGGCACTGAGGAGTGAGGGAAGCAGGAAGCCTGGTGTGGGCGGAGCAGAGCCAGCACTGGCCTGAGCAGGTGCTGGGCTGTCCCTGTCTGCCCCTCCCCCCCGTGCCAGCCCTGAGAGAGCATGCCCACTTCCTCAGAACGCCAGCACCTCCTCTCCACCTGCTCCGACTGGCCAGACTGAGGGATGGCGGGGAGAAGACCCCTACCCCAAGCCTCCAGCCCTGGGGCTTTGGGACAAGGAGCCGTCATCCTCCCTCCCCCACAACCTGCTGCAGACTTCTTCACCACAGAGAGGAACCCTGCAGGCAGCGAGATGTCGCCATGGCCCCATCAGCAAGGGTTTCCCAAGCAGGAGCCCCCTTGGCTGAATCTGGGTGTGGGGGGCCACCCTCCTCACAGCCCAGATCCTGCCTTGGCTAGGAGGCTCCCCCTGGCTCCCTCCCAGTCTGGCTCAGGTGGGGACGGGGTCAGACCGCCTAGAACTCCTCCCTCTCAAAGTCAGACCCTCCCTGCCTTCTTGGGGGGAGGGCATGGAGGGGGTGCAGCTGCTGCTTCATCGCTCAGCATGAAGTCACCCCTCCCCAGCCATCCCCAGCTGTCTGCACAAACAGACTCTGCCCACAGCCACGACGGTCCTGTGCAGCCATCGGTCTGCAAAGGGCCTGACGGCCTGAGCAAACGGCTGGACGGACTAACATCCAGGAGAGCCAGAATGGAGGACAGACGTGAGAAACGGGGCCAGCTCTGTGGACAGGTCTCCGAACTGCACAGGCCTGGAAGGCCCAGGTCGGTGGACACGTCTGGAATGGGCCCAACCCCTGCCGCAGTGGAAGAGCCCCGCCCTCTGTCGCCATGCTGTTCTGAATCAAGCCCTCATTTCAGTCCTGGTTTTGCCTTGGAGTTAAAATGTCAGAGCTGAAGTCACACACAAAGTCACAAAACCGTTTTCGGTAGAAGGTTCATGTTCTGTACAATATGTGTATGAATGTAAATTATATATATACTGTATGTATATATACATGTATATATATGCACAGTGTATATACGACCTAGTCCATGTGCATACACCCCTCCCCGCACGTCTGCACACAGAGTACACAGAACCCAGCTAGCAGGGGCGGCACCAGGTGGGAGGCGGGCGGCCGCAGCTGTCTGGGGCAAAGGTTACAGAGAGCCCCTTGGGGCAGGAAGGCCCTGCATGTGGGAGCTTCAGACCCTGAAGACAGGACTACATGGGGCCAGCGGGGGATCTTGCATCACCCGTGCCCCCGTGGGAGGGCCAGGAGTGGCGAAGGGGCCTTGTCTCCATCTGAGTCTCTCTGAGGCCCACAGTGGGCACCTCTGGGGAGCAGTGCTGTTCCCAGGGCAAGTCATAGGGAGTAGAAGGCTGGGAATGGGGGCCCATGCCCCAGGCCTGTTCTCATACCTACCTGCAGAACAGCCTCGTGAGTCAGGCTCCACCTGCGATGTCCTAGACATCGGTGTTCTAGGTGACAGAGCCTCTGCCTAAATCCGCCCCCGCCCCACACTTGCACAAAGGCACTGCAGCCCTCACACAGCCTGGCTCCCGGCCTGACCCCAGGGCACTGCCAGCATGCAGGAGCAATGTCCCCGCGCCCAGGCGTCTAGGACAGAGGACCACAGGTCACCCCACAGCTTGCCTCTGTTTTACAGATCAAAACTCTGAGGCCTCTGGATTTGAGGGCACAGCCATAGACTCAGTAAGATGCCAGCCCAGAGGGTGCCCCACCTCAGACAGCCCCCCCAGCGCCATCTGACGGAGGCCAGCTGTCAGGGTGGCGAGAGGGCAGTGCCTGCGCGTACATGAGGCCATCTGCCTGTCCTCTGCCCGCTGCTCCAGCAGGGCGGTTGGCAGAGCCCCCACCCCCACGGCAGGCAGCAGAACTCTGTCCCCACCGCGCCCCAGTCCATCTGCTCGCTGCCATTCGGCTCTTTAGCCCCTGTCATGGCTCCGAGCATCCCTGGAGTGTGTGGCGGACGGGGGTCTGGAGTGGGCCTCCCTGCATCAGCAGCCTGCCCTCCGTTTCAGCCGCCGGCATCAGGCTGGTCCGCACTTAACTCCACACCCCTGGGCCCTGGCCAAGCCAAGCACGTCTGAATCCAGCCCCCGAGGAGGACGCAGTCCTGCTCCCCGGGATCAGAGGCCCCAGCGGCCCCCACGCCACTGTGCTCCACGCCCCCAACCACCTCTGCCTGGGCGACTCTGCCTCGGCCTGCCATGGTGGGCCGTGTCCCCAGACAGCGACGCGGGCCTCTGAGACAGACCGCGGCCTGTCCTGGTGCGCAGACCAGAGTGCCC